ATGCATTCATAAGTGTATGTGGATTTACATAGAGATATAGTAAATTCAGACATATGAATATGATTATTGTTGTTCAAGAGAGATCACTAAATACAATAGATTAATTCGATCGTTGGCGCATATGAAAAATTGTTGAATAAATTGGAATTAAATGTATGATAAATAACCTAAGTGAAATCGAAAATTCTAACTGTCAAATCACATAATCTTATCTATAGTTTTAATTTGAGTTGGTTAGTTTATTTAATAATTTGTCATTTAATTTATTAGAATTTCGTTTAGAAAACAAAACTTGATTTGATCATTAGTTACTATTTTAATTTAAATTGAAGTTATGTTAGTTTAAAAATTTATAGTAGTCTCTGTGGGACAATATTCAGATTTAATAAATCCACTTTATTACTTGTCACGATTCGTACGCTTGCGGAATCTCACGAACACACAACACAAAAAATTATTCGACTCTAGTTAGGGCGATAAGCCATGGTCTCACCTAACACATGACACAAATGACTCAATTGTGGTCAAATGTGCGATAACGTAATATGACCTAAGCACAAGGCATAAATTAATTACTATACCTTGCTAGATGATTGATTTTGGCCAATAAGAGCCTAAAAGGCTAAGAAACCATCGGTGCAATTTGAAACGTTAATCTTTCAAATGAAACCAAGGTGAATAAGATCGTCTTATGATACTATAATCAAATCTATCTAGTGACACAGGAGTAACATATTACATAATCATGTAGAGAACCATTTCTCTATTTTTTTTTCTTAGCATTTTTGTCCCATTTCTATTGATAAGTGCGTTTTGTGTACTTATTCAAGACAATTTATTTGGATTAATTTTCTTTTGTTTTTGTTTTGGACCTATTCAGAAGCAATTGGAAAAGAAATAAAAATGAAAGGTTTGGGGACTAATGTGCACATGAGAAGAAATCGAAGGACCAAAATAGAAGTAATTTAAAGTGGAGGATCAAAATCGAGGAAAGAATTAAGAAAAGGATCAAAATGCAAAAAATTGAGAAGTTGTTATAATTGGGCACTTGCCTAGTTATATAGACCGTGCTTGAAAAAGGAAAATAGAAGCTAAGCGAAATATTAGGCAACTGCTCGATTTTCAACTGGGCACTTGCCCAGGCTCTTCGCGGCCATAATTTATTTTCGTTCAAGATTCTACTCAAACAAGGAAACTTCATTTCATACCATTATTTGCATGATTTTCATAGATTTTTGGGACTCCATGAAGATTAGTATAAATACAACTTATCGACTCTAGTCTACAAGGGATGAATGTACAATTCCATTCATCTCATATTTATCATAAAAATCCATATTTTTGAGTAAAAACTAGGATCTTCATTGGAGAGTTCATCCGAGTTGAAGATCAAGCGCGAAAATGAAATTATACTATTTGGTTTTCTTCTTGCCCGAATTATGAATTCCATCTTTTGTATTAGTGTTTGTCTCTTTATCATGTTATGCTAGATTGTTTTTTTTTTGCTAAGATTATGATGAATCTTGTATTATGAATCTTTGACTTTTGAATTTTGTTTTTGATATCAAAACACGTTTTCAATTCTTGAATGATTAACATTTATTTAATTTTCTCTACAATTATATGTGCAATAGTTGTATGAGTTTTGTGGCTTGCTTTATTTTTGAAAGATTGAAAATAACTTAGACATAATTTCAATTGTTGTAGAGTTCGATATATGATAAAAATATATTGCTATACTTTATGTGATCTATAAGTATTTACAAATCCTTAATACATAATTGTCAGTTCGCATCCGTCATAGAATTATAATCAGGTCACATGTAAGAATATATTTAATTTTACTCAAAGAGAGATTGTTAGACAATTTAAGAATATTGATCTTCATAATTGAATCGTGTTGTTAAATTATAAGGCTTATGGTTAAAAGGAATTGATACAAGGAAATTCGAGATCCTAATGCGCTTTTCGTTCTTAGATTTTCATCAAACTTGCATTCATTATAACATCGCATTGATTTTAGTCAATTTAGGTCTTTCATTCATAAGTATATTATTTGATTATAATTTAGTCTTAGAAAAATTACAAATATTCATTATTTCGGTTAAGGTTAAGTTAATTTGAACTTGAACTAGTTCAATCTCTGTGGGTACAATACTTGTTCTCAAAATCCATTTTACTATTTGTTAACGAATAGTGCACTTACGGTATTTCAAACGAAAGAATATTTTTGCAACATCTACCTCTCGATTTTCCAATGTATATTCTCTAAGCACAGTTATGCATGATTGTAAGCACCTTTCGTGTGGATTCAATATTGGAATATATATATTCCAAGATTCACTAACTACGCTTTCAATACAAAGGTATTGCCACATTATAAGGGTGTTTGGTGGAGATTAAAATTAGATTTTTAGTAGAGTGTGATGGAAGTTTTTGAAATGTGTGGTTGAAAAGTTATGGGACCCATGAAAGATGTGGTTAATATTAATTGTTTGACTTTAACTTTGATTAAAATCAGATTTTAATCCGAACCAAACAAGGGCTATAACCCCCATTCCTTAATGCCTCAAAGAACACGGACAATGAACCTATGTTCAAGTTGAATTGACTATCTTAGTTGATCTAGTAGTCTTACTAATACAATAGTATCTATTGAGCCCATGTTTGACAAATGACAACCGTTATTTCAAACCTCTTTTTTATACGTACTCATATTCAATCATACATCTACGCAGTAAATTCCTAGCCATTTAAACTAAAATTAATATCATATTTGTCTTTGAAAAATTGTAGATGTTTGATGATATTTACCTTACATAAAAATAAATAAATTACGGTGATTATATAACAGTCTTTTTATCTCATATTTGATTTTTCTTATAAGCATAATTTAACATTTGAACGGTGAAATAGTTGGACGTATGTTAATTAAGCTTCAGCCTTCAAGTGCTACAATCTCGAAAGGCCGGGGACCTCGTGGCTCAAGCCAAACCTCATTTTGGGGGATCGAACCGAGCTCCAACTAGCCCATGTGGCTTGTCGAGCCAGACGTGCCAACTCGTGTCACGGACCAATACGAGTCGATAAAAAATGGCCCGATTTATTTGAAAAAAGGATTGTAGCTACAACTACTTGTTAAAAAAGGGAAGTGACTGCCTCTAAAACAGGCATCTACTTAGCTGCCTATTCTATTAAAGGTAGCTACACGCAGCTGTAGTAGGGATGACAATAGTTCGGTTTGGTTCGGGGTTGGTTCAGCAAAAATCATAACCGCACCACCAAATTTTTGGATATACCATAATCGCACTATTACCACGTAAGTCGGTTCGGTTAGTATATCAGTTCGATTCGGTTAATAACCACGAAAATAAATTATTTTTTATAAGTCCAAACTCCAACCGTCAAATTAAAAAAAAAAAATTATGAAAAAAATTCAATAAAAACAAAAACACAATACTAAGCCAATTTAGCAAACAATATCCCAAATGAAAATGCAAACAATATCTCAACTTCTAAATGCAAAATTCGAATTTAACAAACAATATTATCAACATAGGTCAAGACTCTTACTAGCATAGGTCAATCTGCATTCTTCCCCACAACTCTTACTAGCATGGTCAAGAGTCCATGCTTAAAGTTGATTCCTATATAGTAAATATGAAATGTAATTAGAGTAATAATATAATTTGTACTAAATGTCGACTCAGATGCCATAGTAGATACTAGAATGGCTAATAAATCTCTTGCAACCTTCTGTAAAGTCGAATATTTTATTGAACTTGCTTTCCACCATGTCAATAAATCAAAACCATCCACCCGGCAATATGGCTTGTCTAGAAAAATATCAAACTTTGTTTTTACATGAATAGCGGTAACAGAATGGCTAACAAATGTATCAAAACTAGCCATGCGAGAATGCTTTCCAACAGTAGTAGACGACTCTGATTGCAAAGATAATGGAGAGTGAGATGTATTTTCTGTCGAATGACGTGGTCTCTTGTACTCTTTGAGCAACTTATGACAAAATGTTCTAAGTTTGGTTTTCAATTTTCAATTTTAATATGTAGGGTTAGAGTTAAGTTATTGAGTTAAGGGTTTACTAGCAATGTTAATTGGGCCATAATTTTGGGAAAGCTCAATCAAATTGCCCAATGAATTTTGGGAAAGAATAATGAAAAACCCAATTGCCCAATTAATTTTTTTTAACGGGTAAGCGATTCGGGGCAGGCACCGTCGCTAAATACCATACCCGCTCCACTCCGAACCGGGTCATTAAAATCAAAACCACAACCACCACATTGTACAATCGGTTCGAGTTTTTTAGCCCATTCGGTTCGGTTAACCGCGATTTTCGATTTTAACCGTTCGAATTGTCATCCCTAAGCTGTAGCTGTCTTTAATGCAAAAATAAAAAGTTAAAATTTGAAATTCAAATTTTGTAAAAATCATTATATTTGTTTGCTATAAATATGAGGTAAAATTACACATACTTTAAATTGTTTTAAAAAATTTAAGATTGTCACGAATTTAAAAAAGAAAGAAAGATTCGGTTCGACTTGGTTAGGCCCCAGCTGAAAGCCCTAACCAAGCTTTAATTTTCAGGCAGAGCTTTGGCTTGTCTAAAAAAAAACTCAAGTCATTTTTACCCGAGTTGAGCTCGAGCCTTGAAATTCGACTCTCGAGCCGGCTTGGCTGGTTACTAAAACACGTATAAATAACTCTAATCATCCTTGAAATTTTAGGGCATGTTTGAGTCCCATTTTGTAAAAAAAAAAAAATCTATTTTTGAACCTTGTATTAATGTAAAATGTGTGATTAAAAATAAGAAAAAATTTTAATATTATTTAATTGAAAAACATGTCGTTTCACTGTTCAAAACTACTCTTTTTTTTTTTTTAAATTAATAAATGGGGACAAAACCATTGCTTCACCTGCAATTCTCGTTGATCTGATCTGAAATTGTAATAAATTTTTGATCCAGGAGGAGAGAAACGGAAATGTCAGTGACAATGGAGAGGTTGAGTTCAGGCCTCGCTTACCCGGACCGATTCTATGCGGCGGCAGCCTACGCCGGCTTCGGTGGATCCCCAAACTCTTCTGCTAAAGGCGTCAGCTCAAAGTTTTCGAACGATGCCGCTCTTCTTCTCTATGCCCTTTACCAGCAAGTCGGTCCCTTTTTTGTTTTCACCCTTTTCAGCACGCACGATTTGTAATTAATGAAATTCGTAAATTTTGTATTTTTCGGAATTATGATTTTTGCTGTTGGAAATTTATGTGCTTTATTTCGTTTCAAGCCATTATTATTATTATTATTATTATTATTATTATTATTATTATTATTATTTTTTGAATGTGTTACTTATTTTCGACTGATATATACTTGTTATTTAATTGGCAAGTTACTGCTCTTGATCGTCATCTGTGTCCCAGAAAATATCATTGACGTGTTGTGATATTAATCAATTTGAATCATCTCCTTCTACTAGAATATATGTCTTTACCATTGCATTTCTATATCAAGTTCTATTATGTTTTGTAACACTGAATAGGCTCAATCTAATAGAACATTGTTTGATTGAGGATCCTTATTATTATTGAATCGTAGGCTCTGTTGCTGATTGGGTATATTAATATAAAATGGTGTTTCCATATACTGAATTCTTTTGAATTTTGCTTGTTCCTTTTTTTTTTCATTTTTTTTTCTCTCTAAGTGAAATATATTGTTTTTGTTTAGATCTGCCTCTTCAAAAAATGTTTGAATTTTCAAGATTGTGATGTTATAAATTATAATTGCTATACATTAGGAATTATTTACCCTCCCATCGTCTAAAGCAGCAGCTAAAAAGAGAGTTACTAATAGGATGATAAGTTAAGATTAGCCATGCCAGTGATTATCTTTTCCCGTTTGTGAGATTTATGTACCGAATATGATCAAATTTTTTTCATGCAAATGAATGATAAAACACTTACCTTTTTTTTTTGTTGCAGGCAACTGTTGGGCCATGTAACATTCCTAAGCCTAGAGGTTGGAGTCCTGTTGAACAAAGTAAATGGACAAGGTCTGTCATTCTTGAACTGTATTCTCTTGCTTACATTGGTTGAGTAATTCACTTACAAATCTGATATTGATTTTATCATTCAACCCATTGTTAGGCATTCTTGATATCTAACATGCCAATGGTTTTCTTGGTTGTTTTCATGTGATAACTATAAACACCTTCTAGTTTGGAATAGTGTAATTTACCTTGCGAGGCAAAAGTATTTGCAGGAAGAAAATATCTTTCATATGCTTAAGAAGAACTATTGCAAACACACTGCATAAAACTATGTTGACCAATTTCATGGTTCCAAAATTTTCATGTTGAGTGAATAAAACTGACTATTGAAAATGGATCGCAGAATATGAAATTTTGAGACAGTTGAACGAGTAAGACCACCATTGGCTGAAATATTGTTCTGGTTGTTACCAGAAGAATAAGGGTGTAGGGATGAAGTTTCTGGAGAAATTGAGAACAGGTTCTAAGATTTGGAAGGTATAGTGAAAAGTTTGAAGTCAGGTTAATTAGCTGTCCGGATGTTTCTTTATTGAGGATGAATGTGAAAGATTATCTTTGAGTCACTTGGCGAGGATAGAAAATGAAATGAGATTATGGCTGGTTACATATATTTAGCATTTTTGTATTTATCTTTCTGCTCCGACAATGTGCGACTTAAATACCTTCTCATTTGGTGTAACATTATGTTTGTTAGCGTACCGCTTTTGTAATTGTAAAAGTTGATAAAATGAAATGGTTATTAATACAAATTAAAATACAAAGTTTATAAAAATGATATCTGAAGATAAAAATCAGTATAAAAAATTGCAGCTTTAGCTAATAGAAAATACAAAATCAAATATCCCTGAAGGCCAGGGGTGAAATAGTAGAAGAAAGTAGCATTTTATTCATATACAAATTTCCCTCGAGCAGAATTTGAGTTGATAATATCTCTCATTTGAAGAAAACTTAGCTTAAAAAGCATCACGTGGCTTTGTATAATCAGTTGTTAATGGTGATGTATTATTTTATAATGCATAGGAAATGAAGTCAGGGAGAGAATGACTTAATCATTTTTGGGGCAAACTTTATGGTAATTTCGCATAGGGAGTAGGTACATATTTTGTTGCATACAAGTGTCACTTTCTAATGCTGGCAATAGGAGGAGCAAGAAGAAAATATGAAGTATCATTATTTGGAAAGATACAAAGTTTTAAACTTATTTAATAGCCCAAAGCAACCTCTAGTGGAGTTCAATTGCGAAGCTTGGACACTCCTTTGGTGGAATGTTGGTCTCCGACACTTATGGGACACTCGCACTCATTGGACACATATTAAACACTCTGGGACATGTGTCCAACACACCACAAGGCGTGTCCTATTCTTTTATATAGACATTTTAAATTTTCAATACACGAAGGACATTCCTTGACGAAGTGACCCTTGCCCAGTGAACTTTAATCTACGATTTTCTTTTTGAAATAACATAAGACTGCCACACTCCCTTCCTCTTGCACGCTTATAAGTCAATCTTCATTCCACTTGGTGCTGCATCTTGTGAAACTTTGTTCTTAGTATTGGGTTGACGTGAAGTGGCTATTGTTCCATTCTCCTGGAAGATCAATTATTTTTGAAGTTTGATGTTGAATTTAATTTTACATGCTTTGGCGACTCCTGAATTTTCTATGTGAAATATCTGAGTTTTGCTGTTCTTTTCTTGTGTTGAAGCTGGAGTGGACTTGGAAATATGGCTTCCACAGAGGCTATGCGTCTCTTTGTTAAAATATTGGAGGTCTGTTCGAAGTTAGTTCTATTATATCTTATTACAATGTCACTTAATAAAACCATAACATCCCAGGGTGTCATTTCTCTGGACAGGAAGAAGATCCAGGATGGTATTCAAGAGCATCGCACTTTGTCTCAGAGCCTGTGGTTGATGTTGAAATGCATGTGCGTTTGCCTTTAGATAAAATTCCACAACCTCTCTGTTCTTCTTTTCTTGTTCTTACTTTTCTCAAGAGTGTAATATTTCTTTAGTTAAGTTGATGGATTTTGTCACCAAGAAAATTTCGGTAAGCAAGTCAAACCTGCTGTCGTGAATGGATTTTGTTGCAAAAAATAAGGCTCTGTTTGGAAGGAATTTAAATTTTTCTACAGTAAATCAATTCTCATTTTCAACCACACATTCTCCAATAAAATAATATTTTCCATCACATCAATAATTTTTTCTTCTTTTTCAACCACACATTTCCCATCATATCACTATTCAAAATCAATTCTTCCCCCAAAAATCTATCCCAAACAAGCTCTAAATCTCAACGACAGAGATTTAGACATGCTAATCTGTCACTGCTTTAGCTAGATGTGATCAAATAAGAAGGAAGCTGGATTTCTCGGTTTACTTGTGTGAATAATTACTTCTCTTTTATTTATTAATTTTAGAAATTTCAGGTTTCAAAAGTTAATTTAGTCTGGTCTCTTAAGGCAGGTGTAGGAGAAGACAATGTTTAGATAACAAATGATTTCTTGCATTCTAGATGAGAAAACATAGTAGAGATCACCATTGTTCATGGCATTATGCTATTGAAAAGCACATATTTTTTATCTTATTTCACATGCTAGCTTACTTGGTATACTCTTGGTGTTTTGCAAATTTAAATTATCTTTGGTTAAAAGATCATCAATATCTATCTTGTTGCTCTTGATGCTTAACCCCACATCCCCAGGAAATTGTAGGAGAAGACCAATGTTTAGGAAAAACTTCTCTCCTTTCATATGAAAAGAGAAGATTAAGTAGTGGAGAGGGCACCATTTGTACATGTTGTATGCATAATGAAAGGCACATATTTTTTAGCTTATTTTATTGGCTTCCTTGGTTATTATACACTTGGAGTGTTACAATTTTAGGTTCTCTTTGGTTGAAAAATGAATAATCGGTATGCCTATCTTGTATCATTTGACACTTAACCCCACATTCTCATGCAAGTATGAATATTATTTTAGAGGCATGTAGACAATTCTGTCTGAATTCATTGTATTCTTTCTAATGTTAAAGCTTGTTCCTGGATCACCAATTGATTTTGTTTTGTTCAAATTTAGATTATTGCACCATAAGAATAATAAATGTATAAGGCAATCAGCTTCAACTCTCCTTTTTTTTTAAAAAAAAATAAATAAATAATTAAAAGAAAAATGCAAATCATCTGGAGATAGTTCTCGGCTGTTTTTTTCAAGTTGACCAAAATTATGCAACGTGGCTTATTAAAATAAAAGAGTAATTTGGCACTTGTTTTCTTCACTTGGAGGAATATTAAATATGTTATTATGGAGGTGCAGTAGGTAGCATATATGTTATTGCATATTATATTTTCTTGTAACTTGATGAGCTAGGCAAGATCTTTATCAGAACAAGGAGGAAAGTAAGACAAATTTAAGGACGTCCTGGATGGTTATAATAAATGACTCTGATGAATCAACTTTTAAATTCCAATTGATTTAAAGGTTAAACCAAGAGATACCTATGTAAACTTCCCTGCTGTATATTAGTTTTGATCTTAGGTTGGATGCATTGTTGTACAGTTACCTCTATTCAATATTCGTGCACCAACAGCATTTTCAATTTTACTCCCTTCATAATAATTGGATTATTAGAGACTTGAGGCATTTGTTCATGCGTAAGATATAGCTATATTCTAATGATATTCAGTTGGTTACAGTGATATTAATCTTTAGTCATTTGTCAAAAGTGAGGATATTCATCTTGGGTACAAGGTTTTTTCCTTTTCTCCCTGTGATAATCTTTGTGTATGAAAGTCTCAAAAAAGAGATCCAAATTTTTAAACAATTAAGTGTTTTCCTGTATCTTCATAATTATAGCAAATGCTTGTTTTGCTACTATCATTATTCACTAATTTCAGCAGAAAGTGTTTTAAGAATTTGTTAACTAACAGGGAAAAAATGGTTTTTCTTAAACAAAAAATCTGTGTAAAAGAGGTCAATAATATAGTTCATTGGGGGAAGAAAAAGGGCGGTGGACATTTAGGTTGTACCCCTCTCATGCAACTACACTGGCTTGTTCCTTATAGCATGGTTGCATGTTTCTTTATCAGTAATAAGAACATTATAAAGAGACATGAACTTTATATCTCTACTTTTCTCAAATTATACTCTAGACTGGTGAATGTAATTTGACAATGATTGAGTGAAGTGTTTGGTGATTTAAGATCCTAAACCACATCTGAGTATTGCAAATAGACAAGGGTGTTTTATTGGTACTGTCTGAAACATATTCACGGAGGAAATGACATTGGGTGATGGAGGTGTTTTTACTTCGAAATATTTAGGTTGACTGTTTTAATTTCTTCCAACTTCTAGTGGGGAATCCGAATTACTTCATATTCCTTAAGAAGTAACTGCTAGTTGTATCGTTATTAGCTAATCATATTGCACAGATGTGTGTGAAATGAATCTTGAAAAGGGTTCATTGAACATCGATACTTCCTATTATTTATCTTCCAATGAACTTTGAATAAAGAGATGTTCTAATGTAACGGTCAGGATTAATGTCTGTATGTTAAATAATAAATAGCATGCTCCCACTATTAGGAGTCTTAGATAGTATTTTAAAAGACAAATATTGAGACTTTGCATATTAAGTTATGGTTATGGTTGCTTGAGAGGTATTATCCTTATCTTGACAACTCTTTATCTCTTTTGTGGGTTGTGGTGAGTTTCCTAGCTCTAAACCCCTTGTATTCCTTTGAGTGGTGATAACTGTATCCCTTGGGGTACACTACGTGGGTGATGAGCTATTTAACCTTCGGTCAATATATTTCCTTCAATCTTCTTAGCCCAGTGTCAAGTTAGATCTCTTAGCAGATGTTTTTCTGATCTACATAATTTTTGGCACATTGGTGTTTCGAGATAGAGGTTGTTCATGAAATTTGCAATTACTTGTGCGTCTTCTTTTTAGATGTTATGTGAACCAGAAGAGTATGAAAAAGAAAAGATAAACTGGAGCTACATAGAATTTGTTGATAATCGAGATTTGCTCGATTTGATTGAGAAGAAACCTAGTGGGATAATTGCATTTCTCGATGAAGCTTGTATGTTTCCAAAATCTACTCATGAGACATTTGCTCAGAATTTATATCAGGCCTTTGTAAAAAAGAACGATTTATGAAGCCCAAGATGTCATGCACCAATTTTACAATATCTCACTGTGCTAGGAGGTAACTTATCAGGCAGATCTATTCCTGGATAAGAACAAAGATTATGGGGTGGCAGAACATCAAGAAATTGAAATTTCTTCAATATTAGTATTAATAGAAATTTTTGAGTATTTTCCCCGATTGATTGATTTTTTCTTCAAGAAAACTTGAGGACGAGTTTTATTCAAGTGGAGGGGATTGATGTAGTACATAATCATGATTATTAGTTTCCTACTACAATTGTGATTTATCGTTTCTAGTAGGTTCTATCTTTTTATTCTCATTTCTTGTTTAGAATATACTTTCTTTTCTTTATTGATTAAAATATATCAATACAAAACAAGATTATTCCAATATAATTCAATTCTTATTACAAGAATTTCATAACGCTTCCGCACCATACATGATTGTGTGTTTGACTTCCTCCAGTACTCCATGTTGCTTTCAATCACATCATTTTCACCCTACATCTCGTCTTTCTTTTTTGGGAACCAAAGAAACTTACTTTGGTTCTTTAAATAAAGCATCAAGGTGCTTCATCTGCATCTTTTGCGCTACGAAAGAAAAGGTGACTTAAGGCTAATGAGTTGAATAGTAGATATCTTTCTTTCACTTCTTCTGCACTATTTCCAGCATCAGCATTTGAATCTTCCTTTTTTCTATTCATCTGCTGGTTCAGCACAATCCCAAAGTTGAGCCGGTCGCTGAGAATGGACACACTAAGTCTATGCCTGCTGAAAATGGTAACCTTTCAGAAACTCAGGATAAAGATGTTGTATCTGAAGGCCTTGGTGTAGTTAGTATCTATGACCAGTGGGTTGCACCCCCAGTGTCTGGCACACTTCCAAAAGCTCGATATGAGGTATTGGTCTTTAATTCTTCTCTTTTTTCCTTAGTACATTCTGTTTCTTGTTTGTTGTATTTTTCAGTTTCTAAAAAAGGTTGATTACACGTGACAGCATGGAGCTGCTGTTTGTGATGATAAGATGTATATATTTGGTGGAAACCACAATGGGCGTTACCTAAACGATCTCCAGGTATTTGAATTATGATTGTTGTGTATACGTCACTTGTGCTTGTGGTAAGTATCATTGTATGTAGACTGGCATTCATCAGATAAGGTCGTGTCTCCACCTTTGGTACATGTCACATAAGTATTTATCACAACCCACTCCTTGGTTGAGTCCTAACCTAGGGTGGAATAGTACCTTTGAAGTCCAGCAAGGATACTTTACCATGCTCAAACCAATTAGTTTCAACCCACTAGCAGCATTTTGTGTATATAAACTCACATGAATTTCCCAAATGATATTTATCAATATATCCAACTCAAAAATACAACTCATAAGTGACTTTGACAATGTTAATTAAAGTACCACTCAACTTGCTTGTTGCAAAAGACTTGCAAAAGAATTAGTATCAACTTAAACCAACAAGATTTTGCCACCTAAGATCCACATTGAGACATATAAGACTTGTTGAACTCATTATCCTGAAATGTATGAAAGATATATGCTGCTCGAGTCAAGTGAGATTAACTGGTTGCAACAGCCTGGACAATTATTGTCTGTTTGATAGACCATGAATTCCATGGAAAATGGAATTAGTTTTCCATTTTCCAAGTTGTGTGTTGTTTGATGGTATCAATTTTCTTGGCTTTTGATTTTCCACTTGGTCAGGTCACGCGCCTGTTTTCTTGGCGTGAAGGGAATTGTTTTTTCCTCCTATTTGGTGGGAAATCTGATTCCACCTTTTTTTTCTATTTTTTTATTTTTTTTAGGCAATGGAAACAAAGTTCATAACCAATTGTAAAAAAAAAATTCACTTTAATGGACAATTTCCATGTAAAACAAAGTCAAACGAATACTAAATTTTGATTAAAAAAATGATTTTTAGAAAAAAAATTTTTTTTTTTTTTTTTTTTACTTTTTAGCAATGGAAACAGATTTTATAACCAATTGTGGGAAAAATTATTACTCTCATGGACAATTACCATGTAAAACAAAGCCAACAGAACACAAAATTTTAAATTTTCCGAGTGGAAAATTATACCAATTAAACACACTTAATTTTCAATTTCCCGCAAAACAATTTTTAGGCAATTACTTTCCCTGAAATCTTCTTTACACCCATTTTCCACCTTTGCAATCAAATGGACTCTTATTTATACATAGCGTGTGTTTGATTTTCATTTTTTCCTCGTTATAATGAAAAATATGACCGTTGGAATTCCAAAAAGCAACTCCAACGGTCATATTTCTCATTATAATGAGGAAAAAAATGAGGATCAAACGGAGACATAATAATATTTCATCTGTGCAATTTATACCCATGACATGAGCTTAAGGTACAATATTGAGGGCATACAAGTGATGCAGATAATTAAGGGGAATTTTCAATTGCGAAATTCTATTTCCAAATATGGACACAGAGAAATCAAGTGTAACAAGCTGGCATTGTCAGTTTCAAGTACGAAAAGTTTAACAGGATTGACACTGCAAATGAGCTCCATTCTCTATATCAATTCATTGACTAACTCAAACTGTAAGAATTGGCCCCCAACTGCTGATGGGCATAAAAGCAGCCACAATGATTGCCTCAAGTGCTGATGAGCACAAATACGATGCCTGCAGAAGTTGCCCCAACAACTGATGTGCATAATAACATCCATATTAACTATCCATTCAATAACAAAGTTACATGGTCCTGTTAAATCCCCTCCATCTCATTTATTTTCTTAAGCATATACCACTTAAAATTAAGTTATAATTAAGCCTGTGTTTGGCCCATGTTTACAAAAGTTTTTTTTTTTCACCCATTTTGGGGGACTCACAAGTGTAATTTGCTTTGTGAAATTGAAGATCCAAATTAAACATCACCCAACATTACAGAATGTCACAGCAACAGTGCTGACTGTAACTTTAAGTTCTTAAGTTGTTTTCTTTTGGGGCCCTATGTTCTTACTCGGTATCCTATGTTCTTCTGTGCTGACATTGTTGGTGTTGACAATCTCATTTGCTATACTGACTACTGTCTATGCTTTACTTAATTCTATATTTCTTCTCTTTTAGCTTGCTGGAGACAGCAGTTTGTAATTATTTTCCTTCGTGGATGCATGAAGGTTCTGGATTTGAGAAGTTGGATGTGGGCCAAGGTGAACATTCAATTAGGGAATGAGGGCCCTGTAACTCCCTGTGCTGGACATTCCTTGGTTAGTTTAAGTGCTAGGTTATCGGATGAAAAGTGTCGTGATTCCCATAACTACTTTCTACATTATAATAATTACACAATCAAGAGTGTCAAGAAAATTTTAAATATATGCTTTGTAATGATCACTTATTTGTCTTATCTTTTTGTCCTTTAGATACCATGGGGTGGAAGTAAGCTTCTTTCTATAGCTGGACATTCAAAGAATCCTCCTGAAACTTTACAAGGTTCAAGTTGTACCTCATAAAAATGTTTTGTAAAGATTTAGTTTAAAAATTCTTCAAAACGTTATTTTGAATTTGCATTATATTGAAAGTGTGAAAAGAGTCTCTACGTTGATGCTATTGTATTTCAGAAGTGAAATCTGAAATGAAACATAAAAATGGCATCTATGTCTATTTCATAGCGTAGACATATAGAGAATTCTGGTTGTTGTGCTGGATTTTATTAGTTGGAGGTGAACCTATTATTTTTTCTAGATTCTGTTTGCTAATTGCTATTACTCTTTAGATGTTGACAGCATTGGATTGTCTTTGATGTCAATAAGTTTCTGAGGCAGAAATACTATGGAATTTTTTACTTGATTTAAATTATTTTTCTGATAATTCTCAATGCCTTACTAATTTATAATAACAGTGAAGGAGTTTGATCTGCAAACTTGTACATGGTCAACCTTGAAGACTTATGGAAAGCCTCCGGTAAATATTTGATAATATCTTCAATTGATCTTTAATTTTTCTTGCTTTGAGACTTGAGTTCAGACTTCATTTTCTTTAAATTTCTAGTAGATTGAAACATTTTATGATGTGACCATGGAACTATTCTCTTTTAATAGCCAACAACTTCTTCCATGTAGACTATTCTAATTCCTAAGATATCAGATTGAAAAATTTGGAATCTAACACTTATTTAAAATTTGAATCAACTAAGAAACTTCCTGTCAGTCAGTTATCTGATTGTGCTTTTATATATTGAAAATTATTTTAAAAAGTTGTTCTTATACTTCAGCTCGACGAAAAAATTTCAGTCAGACTTTATGATTGAAAATTTTCTCATATTTGCTTATGTCTTTTAGGTTTCTCGTGGAGGGCAATCAGTGACCCTTGTAGGATCAACCCTAGTCATATTTGGTGGACAAGATGCAAAGAGGTCTCATTTGAATGACCTGCATATTTTGGACTTAGAGACCATGACCTGGGATGAAATGGACACGTTGTAAGATTTTATTTTATTCTTTTAATTTTCTTGCAGGAAATTTGAGAATCACAGTATTGGTTTGCATACTTTTATATTCATTTTGACACAATTGATGGATGTTGAGGAACTAACCAAGCCACTGAGCAACTAATTTATCTGGATAGTTTCATAATCCCCCTTTTACCCATCAAACATGTTCAATCTGAGTTGTGTATTCCTGTGTTAATATAAGCACTAGTAAATTGATACTTTTTGAATTCTCATTTGGTCAGTAAGAGTATGGTGTGAATATATTCCTTCATACAGAAATTTCATGTATGTCTTAGTTCTTGATAATCTTCAAAATTGTTGTAGGGGAGTGCCACCTTCTCCAAGGTCCGATCATGCAGCTGCAGTACACGCAGAGCGTTACCTTCTTATCTTTGGTGGGGGTTCACATGCAACTTGCTTCAATGATCTGCATGTTTTTGATTTGCGAACTGTGAGATAAATTCCATTCCGTTGCTAGCTTGCTCATAATCCATTAACTTCACACAACTTTTAAATGTATAATTTTCATTTTATATTTCTGTCATGTTCTGATCCTATAGATGGAATGGTCTAGACCTATACAGCAGGGTGAGATACCAAGTCCTCGTGCTGGCCATGCTAGTTTGACAATTGGAGAAAATTGGTTCATTGTCGGTGGTGGTGACAATAAGAGTGGTATGTTTGATACTTTTTTTTTTTTGAAGTAGAGAATAATGTGCTTCTTGCCCAATCTTCTTGTTTCTTACTCGTTTACTCTTGTACAGGAGTCTCAGAAACTGTTGTCCTCAACATGTCCACATTGGTTTGGTCTGTTGTAACAAGTGTCCAAAGGGGTGCTCCTCTTGCTAGTGAGGTATTTGATGACGTAGAAAAAATAATCTTTGACACTTAAACAGTTGAAACTTATACTGAACAAGATGTGCGAGTGGTCAATTCATGCATAATGGTCAGATGTATTTGTATATGAAACCATGTTGTCACCAGTGTACAAGGAAGATTATACTGTGTTTTTTTGTACTTAACTTCCAGTCAATAACAACCCATGAAGTAGATATACCTTTTGTATTAATATAGGGCTCAAGTTTGGTCCTAAGTTCCTTCAGTGGTGAAGATATCCTGGTTTCATTCGGAGGATATAATGGGCGGTACAACAACGAGGTCGGTGCCACCCTCAGATGTTCTTTGGTTTTTGTTTATAAAGGGTCTCCATTGTTAATTTCTTCAGCATGGCTTTACTTTCTGCGAATAGGTCAATATACTTAAACCAAGTCATAAATCAACTCTGCAATCAAAGCTGATGGAGACACCAGTGCCTGATAGTGTAACAGCTGTTCAAAATGCTACAAATGCTACCAGAGACGTGGAGTCTGAACTTGAGACAGACCAAGAAGGAAAAATAAGAGAGATTGTTATGGACAATGCTGATTCGGAGCCAATGGTATGTGTCATTGCAAGATTATTCACTAGGATCTATTGCTGAGGTCGACCATCGTTTTTGATTATCCTTGTTATCATGTTAAGCAAATACATGATATTCACTATTAGCTACTCTGAGTGGAACTGAAGTGATTGTACACTTCGATTATAAGTACTCTGGGTGTTGTTTTGTTCAGGTTACAAACAATCTATGGAAAAATCCGGAGTCTCCAATAACTGTTACTCATAATTTTGGAGTTGATACAAAGTCTAGAGATGATTATGCATAATTTCATTAAAAATTTGAATATTTTATAATTTTCTCCGCTTCAAATTATTAATTTCTATAATGTGGCGAAGCATGCTGAATAGGTAAATTTTTTCTTTGTGTCGAATAGACGTTACTTGCAGTTTCTTTTACTATTTCTGTTATCTATATATTTTGATGAATTAAGGCAAATCAGCTTTTCTTTTTTCATCCTATTTATGTTGCTTATTATGGTAATAATTTCCATTGGGAATTAACGCATTCATTCATTCCTCTTGGTTAGTTGCAAAAGCTGTGAAGTACTCCCTGTGTCCCTCAAAAATGCCTGGTCCAATTGACTTTTCTTTAGAATACAATGGATACAGTTTACTTAATCTTACTATTTAACACAAACTATTAAGTTCTGTATAGAATAAATTTGTTTTAAAGTTTTATTATATTAATAAAAGACTAAACAAATTAACATAATATGATGTTTTAAAAGATTGACAGCCCGACTTTCTACTATAGCAAAGGATAACAGTGGGAGGGAGGGAGTGTGTATGCCCTCTCCTTGCTGCAGAAACCCCTATATTGAAGAAATTTAACTCGCATTTCTCTTTGTAACCCAGATCAAAAACGTTGGAGAGACCCATGTTCATCTCTTAGCCACCCTCAAGGCAGAAAAGGAAGAACTAGAATTATCTCTCAATAAGGAGAAAATGCAAACCCTTGAGCTAAAGCAAGAATTAATGGAAGCAGAGACTCGCAACACAGACCTATACAAGGTAAAATCTCCTGTTATTTCCTTGATTTGGTGTCCTGGTGAAGTGTGGGCTTGATTAATCCCAACTGAACATAGATAATAATTGAGTCAATTTGAGTTGAAATATCCTGTATAATAACAAGTTCAACTCATCAAGCAGTGCGTCTTTACTAATGTGGTGAAAGTTGGTATCATTACACTTAAAATTGAGATTACATAAGGTTATATAAGCAACTGTTAGTCTCTTCTAGGAAACTCCCTATTGTGTCTATGAGAATGACAACCTCTATTTTTCTATCTGGTCGTAATTCTAGGGTCAATGACAATCTAAATATTTACAATCTCTTTATAAATATAGGGCAAAATACATTAAAGGAAATGTACAGTATTAATACAAAATCACGAGAATGGAATTTCCCAGCATTAATTATGATAACACTCCCCCCTCAATTTGGCACAAAAATGTTTTACGTGTCCTACTTTCTTAGAATAGACTGAAATCCTATAAGGATATACTTAAGTTTATTTCTAGAAGCAATACAAGGAATGTAAATCTTACCACTTCATATCTTTTCTCTAATAAAGTGTTGGTCAATCTCCACACATTTAGTTCAATGATGATGGACAAGATTGTGTGCAATAATTATGGCACTAAATGCATAGATAATATTTAGTCTAGAACAAGAGATATAATCATCCTTCCAACAAGTAGGTGATGCTTCTCTCAGTTAGTTTTAGGGTCTCTACAATATCTCCCAACTTGTTATTAGCTTTAAATAAAATTATCTACAATTTGAAATCCTAGCATACTCGTTTCCATCAAGTGAAGGGTATATTTTCGTTTTTTGTATAAGCAACAGAATACCTATTCTTTATAAGCCTATGACCTCAATTTCACTGGACAAATGTTGCCATATCCTGTCAATTTCTTCTTGGTTATTACTGGTTACGATGATGTCATCCGAGTGAACAATTAGAGAGGATAGCTTTTTCCTCATTGTATAGACTGAAAAAATGGAGATGTATACACATTTGAATTTCTGATTCTTTAGATGACATATTTAATGGATGAGGATCGGCAGGCATAATGTGCTAGGGTGTTGGAACAAGGGGTTCAATAATGAAGGATTCTTGTATGAGAGGCTTGGGTAGAGTGCGAGATTCATTCATTTGGTGATGAAGATAATGAATTTTCAGATTCATTTGAGAGCAATGACTCATTTAATCTGGGTAACACATATTGAGCATCCATATGTTTGTTTGAATTCTCCTCTTCAAGATAGATATGTGAGATATATGGTTGATATTTAACAAGGATGACATCCTTAGTATCATAAAATTTTATTGTAGGAGGATGAAAACATTTGTGCTACTTTTTAATCGGTAACCAAGGAGCACATATGTAAGAACTCAAGGCTCAAGTTCTGATCTATTTTCGCATAAAGAAATGCAGCTAATAACGAATTTATAGAGATTGCAAAGAACAGATGTCAGCCTATTCTATGACACTTTCTATCCTGTAGCCTAATTTTTGGGTCAATGATATCCTCTACTTATTTAGTCTGGATAATTCTCAGGTCAAGGATCACCCACATGTTGACAGATTACTACAATTAAGGGCAGAAAATAATTGAAAGTTGTATAATTAATCTTCTATGTGGAGTTTATATAGTATTTGATTTTGGTACAATTTCAACTGCACTGTCCTATGATGCACAGACACGAAATGTTGCCGACACATTAATTAAAATTCATTTATATAGTATAAATTTAATCTTGGCACTGATTTAATCTTATTTGTGATTTAGGTGATTGTATTTGATTGCTATAATTAATATTATGTAGGCAAAACATATACATTTATATCATGAAATTTCTCTTGGAGTTTTATTTAAGTTTCGTAAAAGCGATAAAGGTGGCTCTTAATTGTGCGAGAGCTCTATACCTATAATGGTACAATAGTATCTTACAAATTAAATATATAGCTGTACTTGTTTTTAAAACTAAATATACAGTTTTTGCTTGTGTATTATGCGCCCATTTGCTCATTATTCTACATTATAATGAGAGGAATAATAATTTTTTGGAGAATGTGTGGCTAAAAAAAAAGAATTTTTTTTTAGATTTACGTATAATATTATTTTATTGGAGAATGTGAGGTTGATAAGAAGAGAGAAAAATGAATTATAATTTAATGGACGCCAAACGGAGCTATATATGTTGTAACTTTAAATGTCATTTTCCTTCCTAAACAAAAATTGCTTGTTTAGACCATTGTGATTATTTTGATTAGAAAGCAAACATAATTTTGCAGGAACTCCAATCCGTGCGAGGCCAACTTGCTGCTGAACAGTCCAGATGTTTTAAACTTGAGGTATCTTTCATTGTAGAATTTTGTGCTGATTTGCCATTTGCATGCACATATAATTTCTTGGTAAACTTTGGCAGTCGAGTGTTGAAAAGAAAAAGGAATTTACTCGACTAATAACCTTATAAATCAACGAGTGAAAAGTTGAAAACGCGATTTGTGCCTTTAGCTTTCCAGTATCATGGACCAAGGCTTGTGATTAGAATAATGAATGTGCTGTTGACTGTTGTGAAGGAAAATCACTAAGGTGCTTGTTCTTTATTTACTAGAGGCTCGGGGTTTACTTAACGTAACAAACTTCCATTTTCCGAACAAAAATATGGCTTGGTCAAGTTGTCTATTTTCGACTGCTAATTCTCACTGCTTGAAATTACAGGTCGATGTTGCAGAGTTTCGACAGAAGTTGCAAATGTTGGACACATTACAGAAGGAACTTGAACTCCTCCGGCGCCAGAAAGCTGCCTCAGAAGAAGCTGCCTTAAGTGCCAAACAAAGGCGGAACGAAGGAGGTGGCGTGTGGGGGTGGCTTGCTGGTACGCCTCCCACCCAAAATGTGAACGATGCATGATATTCATATGGGTTTCAATAGTCAGTTTTCCATAAATTACATTTTTTCATTTTATGATTTCTTTTTAGAAATCTAATAAAACCATATAAAGTTTCTTAGCTGGAGAAAATATATTCATGTTTGTAATAGTTTTGAGTGGAAAGGTTGATATTAATCATTTACTATAAATATTAAAGGATGTCTGTTGTAGAATTATTTGTGTTGACAATTTAACAATATTACAATCTAATGAAGAAAAAAACAACGTTAAACCATTTTTATCTACTCCTTTGAATTATTCTACTGAATTTTTAAGAAATAATATATTACTTTTAACCAAAGAAAATGTTGAAAACTCGAGAATGTGTTACTGCTCGAGAAAATCATATGTTCGATTTACTAAATACAAACCCAAAAGAGCACACTTCATCAAATTCATAATGCATTCTGTTAAGCAAAATTAAGAAATCGGTATTTTAGCATACAACTTTTGTTATATTTTGAAAAAAGAAGTATTCAATTTTTTTCTCCCACCTAACACCCTCCTTTGTAGATATATCGTCCGTCGGAATATGACGTGTAGATGTAAAATCAGAATTGTATATATAGCATGTTCGGCTAAATTTAAAAAATGCTTTAGCTCCCGTTTGGTCTCATCATTCCACATTATAATGAGAAGAATATTAATTTTTAAAGAATGTATAGTTGAAAAAGAAAGAAAAGTTTGAATTTACGCGTAATATTATTTTTATTGGAGAATGTGTGATTGAAATGAGAAAAATGGATAATAATTTAGTAGAAGTCAAAGGGTAAAGTAGCTTTTCTGACAATGACATCACAGCTAAACATGCTCGGTCGAGCCATGCCACTTGTAGATGAAACCTCGAACTCAAATTTCAAACACTTTCAAAACTCCAAAAATAAAGCGAAGAAAGTAAAAAGTCAACCTAAATTCAAAGAAATTGGAAGTTTAACGTGTACTTTAAAATTTTAAAGCCACAAAATGTGCCGATCTTTGGTCATCCAAAACCTAATCCACCACCTCAATAATGGTCAACGCTTCATGCATTAGTATATTAGCATGAAATTGTAAGGATTTTTGCTACTCATACATAAAAAAAGGTACATAATGGGTTACATAATATGATATGGAGGAAAAAGATTGGATGAAAAAATTGACTGTATTTTAAACTGACAAGTGATAGAATGTCACGTGACATTATACAATCAATTATGTAAATTTTGATGTACATGTTACAAGATTCATACACAAAAGGAAACTTTCCTCACTATTAATATGCATTGGGAATAATCCAAGTGGTTTTTTGTTTTATTTCAATCTCCGTTGGTTCCTTCACGGGATTTCTGCCATGTTTAAGCCTTCAAAAAAATATAATTTCTCATCGCTAAAAAGGTAAAAATCTTAGCGTATATGATATTCCAGCTCTAAACCAGATTTAAGCAAAGTTTTCTTGCAGCTCTTCGGGTTCGGTATGATCCACTCTCACTTATTTTCCTAAACTTACATTTTCGTGCATTTTCGTACATTTCATTTCCAGCTTATTCACACGCTCATCCGAGTTCGAGAACTAAAGAGTCAAGACCATACGATCTCTTAGCTTCTTGATTCAATGAATATGGGGAAATCATGCTTCCCCAGGTGCAGACTAGGGAGAATAATCGGTTGGGTTCAAATTATATTGGGAATGCTTGTTATACTTGTGAGTATATCAAGTTTATCTAGATTCTACTCTGCTGGTTTTTTCTTGCACGATGAGGATATATGCCGCCGTTTTTACGGTTTCAAGGATGTTTACGAGGGAATTGATGTTAGAGCGTTAACAGCTCGGGTCGAGGAGGTGCTTGACAAGATGGAGAGACTGCAGGACAAGCTCGAATCGACTGTGCAACAGATGGAGAAGAACAAAGAAGATTTACACAAAAGCAGTATTTCGAGATTTGAGTACAAGAAGTTTTTGGAGGACGAGGTAATTAGGCCACTCTATAGTGCCCATATCGCTCTTAGGCAAATTCGTTTGCCAAGAATCGAAAATGGAACGCTTGTTGAAGATCCCTTGATTAATAATTTCGTGATTGAGGAGATTCGGAAGTATATATCGCCTAAAGAGAACAGAGTTGGGAAGATCAATATATATGGAACGGGGAAGATATACAACACGATAGGGCACGCATGTGTGTCAATGAAGAAGGAATTGGAAGACTATATGGAGTATGACATTGGTTCTTATTGTAAAGATGATTGGAATTTAGCACAAAAGCTTATGATTCATGGGTGTGATCCATTGCCCAGAAGGCGATGCTTAACTCGAGCTTCTAAGCTCTACTTGAAGCCTTATTCGATTAACGAGTCCCTTTGGAGAATCCCTGATGGTAGAAATGTCAGGTGGAGCAACTATCAATGCCGGAATTTTGAGTGCCTAGCTAGCAAGAACCCGAGGCGCGGCTATTCCAAATGCACTGGGTGTTTTGAAATGGAAAAGGAGAAGCTTAAATGGGTTACCAACACCTCACTTCCCATAGATTGTCTGATAAAAGATGTTTTGGCTATTAAACCAGGGGAGATAAGAATAGGACTCGACTTCGGTGTTGGTACAGGAACTTTTGCTGCGCGAATGAGAGAGCACGACGTCGCAATTGTATCGACTGCTCTCAATCTCGGGGCACCTTTCAATGAAATGATTGCACTTAGAGGTCTGATTCCTTTGTACGTGACACTGAATCAACGGCTGCCATTTTTTGACAACACATTGGACTTGATCCACACCGCTGGATTCATGGATGGCTGGATTGATTTACAGCTCATGGATTTCATTCTTTTCGACTGGGATCGAATCTTAAGGCCTGGAGGATTGCTTTGGATCGACCGGTTCTTTTGTCAAAGGAAAGACTTGGATGACTACATGTACATGTTTTTGCAATTCAGATACAGAAAACACAAATGGTCCATTGCTCCAAAATCTAACGATCAAGTTTATCTATCTGCTTTGCTAGAGAAACCACCGAGATCTTTGTGACGATACCTGTTGATCAAATCCCGACCGTTTATCACGAATCATCGAAAACCCGTTCTCTATATGTTTCTTTGATTTCATTGTATGGTATCAGAGATAACAGTATGTCTATGCTGAAAGAAAAATAGATGTTTTTTGTTTAGTGATCACTGAAATAATGAATAAAATACATGCTGATTTGTATTGTTTCCTGATGGACGATATTGCCGAAGAAAAATAAATTAAAAAAATTGTTCATTGTATTGTCTCGACCAGTATTACTTATCAAACATGACTTTTAGTGCAAACAATATGAATTTCTGCAATTTTGAACACAAAAAGTACCCGATGTTTCCTTAACACGAAAATACGTATAATTTTTTTCCCCTGATGAAATACCACCTCCGTTAGGCAAGAACTAAGGAGCAAAACAATACCTCTACCAACTTCATTCTTTTTTTTATTTTTTATGGATTAATGAAGATAGGGCAACTGATGTAGCGCGGAAGCGATAAATACGTTGATTTATAAAGATTATCGTGAAATATTTGTTTATTCTTCGCAAGAAATACCGAATATTCGTTTTGATCAACAAATCATTGATTCGTGTCCGAATACTAATTTCAATTAAAAAGTTGGAGAAAATCTCAACAATTAATATTTTATATTTGTTTAAAAATCACATCCTTCCATTAAATCTACCCCCTTATTTATAACAATTAAAAAATATCTATTTAATGATTAAATCTTATTAATCACTAATCATAATTAACAACTAACATCTAGAAAATAACACAAAAAATCAAAGTCCCAATTGGAATTGAATTCCGAATTTATTCAATAAAAAAAAAATACTAACTAAAAAAATAATTAAAAACTCAATTGTCACCATTCTTCTCTGATTGACAAATATTCGTCCTCGAATCTTACAATGTGATTTTATACAATTTCTCGTAATGACAAGTATTTTACTTGGTAAGTTTGAACGGCACACAATAGAAAACTCTTCAAACAAAGGTCGAACTGTAATAGGCATCTCAATCTCACATAAATCCATATATTCTTCAATTTCTTTATCGAAGATTGGGAATCCATCGTAATTGCCATTACCCAAATTCACAAATTCATCAATTTTTTCATCAAAGATTGGAGGACATTGGTAACTGGAATCCAAAGACTCTTCAACTTCTTCGTCGAAAATTGGTAGAATATCATCATCCGAATCTATGTCCATCGATTTCTTTTCATCCAAAGAAACGAAAATGTTATCATCATGCATCATAACTTTTGTTATTGAATTCCAAAAACACTATCAGGAATGAACCTTGTCTCAAGAAGATATTGTGAAATTATTCGGCTCGCCTTTCAATTCTTCTCAAACTATTTGAAAGTTCAAGTTTGCTCTATCTCCTAATGCATGTACAGAACAACAAGCCTTCAAAGTATGCCAACATAGGTCCAAACTTAGTCGAGGGATATCCCATCATGAGTTGTACCTCAATTCTTGAACCTTAATCTTTGTAGAATCAAATAGCTAACGATTAGTTTGATTTCATGTAATGTATATGAAATATTTATTGCAGAAATAAATAATCCATTTCCTCCCCAACGATTTAAGCTTTTTTTAAAATGAGGTGGTATAATACAAGGGTAGATTGTGAATTTAACTCGCATTGTCGTCTATTTATAAAAATTATAGGCATGTCAAACCTTTGTTAAGAAAAGAATCGAAAAAACATGATTTTTTTTTTTTTAAAATTTGAACTTTCAGTGTAGATGGTTCGACAAATTATGCTATGAATTTTGCACATGAATATGGTCTTATTGAAGTATTGAAAAGCACGCTAAATGTGAATTATTCCATTTACTATGCTTGAAATTTGAAATTGGGAAAATATATTTTGTGCATTTGATTTTTTTTTTGTTTCTTTATGCTATGCTTATTAGTTCACGAGTTGATGTTTGAAGTCATGAATTTGACGTCCCTCAATATATTTTGATACCTCATAATATCACCTCTTCTTAACAAATAGAAAAAATTCAAAGTATCAACAAATGTGTTGACTCTTTTCATTTATTAAGAAAATATGATGTGTCAAGACGCGCGACAAATATATTGGGGGACGACGGCCTCATACATTCAGTGTCCCATATCTCAACAAGCAAAGGATAACATTAAACACAATTAGAAACATGGGAGGGGGCATTTCATCCAACTTTTTTGAGCTAAACAAAATCAATTCTTTCCATATTAAGAATCAGATTCCATGGCTCAAGAATTTGACTAAATGTTAAATGTTGTAAAAGGAAAATGATTTATGCCCTTAAATGGATTGACAAAAACCCAGTATTAGCCAATAAAAAACTAGGGTTTTCTAGTTCCATTCGAGAACAAACAAACTTGTATCAATGCAGTCCATTCATTTTAGAATGTACAAGAAATATTATAATTATCAAGACTAGAACATTCGGGGGGTGTTAAAACAAATAGATCATTGAGAAGAGGAGGGGGGGGGGTGGGGGGGTGGGGTGGGGTGGGGACCACATTCACCATTTTTTAGGGGTTTCAACTTTCAAAAGTCATTACATTCTCAAAAACCGGATTGTGAATTAAGTGTGTAAATTTTCTTCTTTCACTTTTTATGTATTCCTTTTAAGGCCACAATTTTTTTAATTATTCTAAATGCATATAAATCAATACAAATTATTCTTTAGTTGAAATATTATAAAAAAATTAATTTTGAAACCAAATCAAAATTCAATTATGTTGTTAGAACTATTGGAAATTAGTGAGTAAAAATTTGTTTTGATCAAATTTGACCAATTGCTTAAGCAGGATCCTTTAGTTGATTATTCTAGTACATTTACTTTCTCGAACTAATTTCAAGAGAATGAGAAATTAATATCAAACGTGAGCCGCTTAAGATATGAAAGTTATTTGAAGTTGGAATTAGTATATGGTGGAAATTAACGTGAATGTAACACGTGACGGAATATCTTAGAACGAGTTTGACTAAAATGTGTCTTTTCGAATAAAAAAATCATGTATTGTCGACGAAAGTTGTCCATATAAAATGTCTTATTCCAACGGTTATCTAATTTGGCTCACACCTTTCCAACATCTATATATGTGAACATCTTATTCGCAGAATTCATTCAATATAATTATATATCTTTTATTCTACCCTTCATATACTAAAGATATTGTGCATTTTCCTTCATATATAAAGAGACTATGAAAACACATTTCTAGTTTGACCTTTTTTGGGATTTGAAGTGCTACGATTGCGAGAAGAGATTGTCCTCAACCACGAACCCCATTGAATGGACAAATTCATCTCATGGACAAAGAGTCGAACACTTGCTCCAATATACCAAAATTTTATTTTTAACAATTTTCTTTTACATTTTTTTTTTTTTTTGCCAGAAGGTTAGTTATCCAAATTTAATTTATACACCAATTTTCACCAAGAAGAAGCGAAAAGTGGACTATAAGTGCTTAATTCTCAATTTTAAGACCTAGAATTGAACCAATTTTAACTAAAATCAAAGCGTACCAAGCAGTTCAATTCGATTCTAGTAATGTTGGGATGGTTTTGTATATACCAACCCCTATTTGAATCTAATTACCCCTCAAAGTAACAAGCAAGATGCAATCCTACTAATAATATTTAAAGAGAATTTTTTGGTACAACTAGGAATAATCACTTTTGCAATTAGGGCCATTGACATGACATATATACCAATAATGCCTAAACCACCAAGTTATGCCTCCCATACATGATAGTGCTTTTTGCATCCTCATCTAGCATAATTTCATGTACATGAAAATTGCTGGTAAAGCTTATATCCATATTAAAATATCTATCATATATTTATAATATGTATCAGTTACGTATCAGTGTCACTATAAATTAGTTAATATAAGTACGCTACGTGTCTGCAAATTAGAAGAAGATCTAATTGATAAATTTGTTTCTAGAAATGGTTGAGGAGCAAGATAAATTGCTTCCAATAGCTAATATAGGGCGGATCATGAAACGCATCCTCCCCCGGAATGCCAAAATTTCGAAAGAAGCCAAAGAAACAGTGCAAGAATGTGTATCAGAGTTTATAAGTTTTGTAACCAGTGAGGCATCAGACAAATGTCACAAGGAGAATCGAAAAACAGTGAATGGAGATGACATTTGTTGGGCTTTAAGTACATTAGGGTTTGATAACTTCTCCGATATTATGTTAAGGTACTTGCAAAAGTTTAGGGAGTTTGAAAGACAGAAGGCTGAACAAAACAAAGCCTCAAGTAGTGAAGAGAGAGGTGAAGTAACCAGCAATGGGTTCGGCCTGCAGCCCGTCGCTTCTGCTTCACTAGAGTTCGGAATTCTTGAGAAGGGCGGAAGCTCATCTGCTAAACAGAAGTAAGCGATGAATAAAAATTTACAAGATTTAACTGTCACTTGGTTGAACTGTGACAAGTATTTTGAAGGTAAATTTCCAACTTTTAGTTGCTGAACTCATTATCTTTTTCTTGTAATTTTCGGGATCAAAGGAAGCCATGTACCTTGTTACATCAAAAGATATATGGATGACATATGTAATTTGACTAATTTCCTTCAGTTTTGAAGATTTGGGATTGCAGTTCTTATTTATCTGATTTATGAGCATAAAGAAAAACTGTTCACGAAACCCTATCAAAAGGAAATTGCTCTTTACCACACTGAAATACATATTTCACACTGTAAAATTTATTTCATCATCCTTCTAGATCTGTACTAGCTCCAGTAATTTCAGTGACGAGGTTCTATTTGGATCTTGGCTATGAAATCAGGATCAATTAGGAATAAATCTTGACATGGATTTTGTCTTGACTGATCAACAATGCCGTGGAATTGCTAATCGTAGATCATCCTTATGGACTATTGCTCACTTTGCGATCATCGAGAACTTGAGGATAATTACATCTTCGGTCTTCCAACTGTTACCTAATGTTCTCGCTCCTTATGGAACTATCACTGTTCAGGTTGCAC